ACCACGTTATCCCTCTCTTAGCACAGTGGACCACGTTATCCCTCTCTTAGCACAGTGGACCACGTTATCCCTCTCTTAGTACAGTGGACCACGTTATCCCTCTCTTAGCACAGTGGACCACGTTATCCCTCTCTTAGCACAGTGGACCACGTTACCCCTCTCTTAGCACAGTGGACCACGTTACCCATCTCTTAGCACAGTGGACCACGTTATCCCTCTCTTAGCACAGTGGACCACGTTACCCCTCTCTTGGCACAGTGGACCACGTTATCCCTCTCTTGGCACAGTGGACCACGTTATCCCTCTCTTAGTACAGTGGACCACGTTACCCCTCTCTTAGCACAGTGGACCACGTTATCCCTCTCTTAGTACAGTGGACCACGTTATCCCTCTCTTAGCACAGTGGACCACGTTATCCCTCTCTTAGCACAGTGGACCACGTTACCCCTCTCTTAGCACAGTGGACCACGTTATCCCTCTCTTGGCACAGTGGACCACGTTATCCCTCTCTTAGTACAGTGGACCACGTTACCCCTCTCTTAGCACAGTGGACCACGTTATCCCTCTCTTAGAACAGTGGACCACGTTATCCCTCTCTTAGCACAGTGGACCACGTTATCCCTCTCTTAGCACAGTGGACCACGTTACCCCTCTCTTAGCACAGTGGACCACGTTACCCCTCTCTTAGCACAGTGGACCACGTTATCCCTCTCTTAGCACAGTGGACCACGTTATCCCTCTCTTAGCACAGTGGACCACGTTACCCCTCTCTTAGTACAGTGGACCACGTTACCCCTCTCTTAGCACAGTGTACCACGTTACCCCTCTCTTAGCACAGTGGACCACGTTACCCCTCTCTTAGTACAGTGGACCACGTTATCCCTCTCTTAGCACAGTGGACCACGTTATCCCTCTCTTAGCACAGTGGACCACGTTACCCCTCTCTTAGCACAGTGGACCACGTTACCCCTCTCTTGGCACAGTGGACCACGTTATCCCTCTCTTAGCACAGTGGACCACGTTATCCCTCTCTTAGCACAGTGGACCACGTTACCCCTCTCTTAGTACAGTGGACCACGTTACCCCTCTCTTAGCACAGTGGACCACGTTACCCCTCTCTTAGCACAGTGGACCACGTTATCCCTCTCTTAGCACAGTGGACCACGTTATCCCTCTCTTAGCACAGTGGACCACGTTACCCCTCTCTTAGCACAGTGGACCACGTTATCCCTCTCTTAGTACAGTGGACCACGTTATCCCTCTCTTAGCACAGTGGACCACGTTACCCCTCTCTTCGCATAGTGGACCACGTTACCCCTCTCTTAGCACAGTGGACCACGTTATCCCTCTCTTAGCACAGTGGACCACGTTATCCCTCTCTTAGCACAGTGGACCACGTTATCCCTCTCTTAGCACAGTGGGCCACGTTATCCCTCTCTTAGCACAGTGGACCACGTTATCCCTCTCTTAGTACAGTGGACCACGTTATCCCTCTCTTAGCACAGTGGGCCACGTTATCTCTCTCTTAGCACAGTGGACCACGTTATCCCTCTCTTAGTACAGTGGACCACGTTACCCCTGTCTCAGCAAGGTGGACCACGTTATCCCTCTCTTAGCACAGTGGGCCACGTTACCCCTCTCTTAGCACGGTGGACCACGTTACCCCTCTCTTAGCACAGTGGACCACGTTATCCCTCTCTTAGCACGGTGGACCACGTTATCCCTCTCTTAGCAAGGAAGACCACGTTATCCCTCTCTTAGCATAGTGGACCACGTTACCCCTCTCTTAGTACAGTGGACCACGTTATCCCTCTCTTAGCACAGTGGACCACGTTACCCCTCTCTTAGTACAGTGGACCACGTTATCCCTCTCTTAGCACGGTGGACCACGTTACCCCTCTCTTAGCACAGTGGACCACGTTACCCCTCTCTTAGCACAGTGGGTCACGTTACCCCTCTCTTAGCACAGTGGACCACGTTATCCCTCTCTTAGCACAGTGGACCACGTTACCCCTCTCTTAGCACGGTGGACCACGTTATCCCTCTCTTAGCACAGTGGACCACGTTACCCCTCTCTTAGCACAGTGGGTCACGTTACCCCTCTCTTAGCACAGTGGACCACGTTATCCCTCTCTTAGCACAGTGGACCACGTTATCCCTCTCTTAGTACAGTGGACCACGTTATCCCTCTCTTAGCACAGTGGACCACGTTACCCCTCTCTTAGCACAGTGGGTCACGTTACCCCTCTCTTAGCACAGTGGACCACGTTATCCCTCTCTTAGCACAGTGGACCACGTTACCCCTCTCTTAGCACGGTGGACCACGTTATCCCTCTCTTAGTACAGTGGACCACGTTATCCCTCTCTTAGCACAGTGGACCACGTTACCCCTCTCTTAGCACAGTGGACCACGTTACCCCTCTCTTCGCACAGTGGACCACGTTATCCCTCTCTTAGCACAGTGGACCACGTTACCCCTCTCTTAGCACAGTGGACCACGTTACCCCTGTCTCAGCAAGGTGGACCACGTTATCCCTCTCTTAGCACAGTGGGCCACGTTATCCCTCTCTCAGCACAGTGGACCACGTTACCCCTGTCTCAGCAAGGTGGACCACGTTATCCCTCTCTTAGCACAGTGGACCATGTTATCCCTCTCTCAGCACAGTGGACCACGTTATCCCTCTCTCAGCACAGTGGACCACGTTATCCCTCTCTTAGCAACGTGGACCACGTTATCCCTCTCTTCAGTTTTTTTTTCAGTTTTCATTTATTGGGTATAACCCTGTGAGCCATGCGGCTCTTGAATCGGGTGCAACCGCAACAAACAAAAACATGAACAAGGAACATCTTAAAGTGACAACACGCAACAGAAAAATCCAAGAAAAAACAGCAAAGTCTTCCAGAAAAAGCACCGTATTTCAACGCTGTGTGTAAAAATCCCAGTGGGATGCAAGTCAAACAATAACAACCACAAGACAATTTAGATGAAAGTTATCAGTCTCACTCTGTACTACAACAAACAAATATGGCTAAACCAAAATGTTTCCGAAATCATAAAAATAAAGCTATAAAAACAATGTAACAGTGATCATAGGAACTGTGATTCAAATTTCACAATAAACGATGTACATAACATGTACGACCAAACTTTGCAGCCGTAGCTGGCTACGGCTGCAAAGTAGCAGTATCAAACATTTTCAATGCACCTTTAAAGATCAGCACACTATAATCAAAACTCAAGATCATACTTTGCAGCGGTACATTTGATTTCAGGCCACTGAATAGCAGTGGCAGCTAGGGGTGCACAACTCCTCCAGAGCAGTTTTGAGTGAAGATCTCACAGGTGGGGACAGGGTTTCCCAAACTCACGACCCCGACACCACCACGCTACGACGTCTTTGCGCGTTCACCAATTTACTCCACCCCCATTCTAATGAACTCGTCCCCATGCTGCACGCGCCCGATGATTGTTACACACGCCCCACGTGACGCGCTATGCAATTAACGATGTCTGCGTAAGATAGACGTGCACATAAAGACACAGATCCCTCGCGTATCACGCTAACAGACCGTTGGGACAGGTGCTGTCTGCGAGCACCTATTAAGGTCGGAACGGTACACACAATGGTGGGTGGCCAACACCATGCCCGACCGCCTTTGTCTCCCCAGTGGCGATGTTTACACACCATGTACCATTTTGAGGTTGAGTCAACTTAGGGGAGGCCCAGGACCGGTTGAGAATAATCGTCGCTCGCGTTGGCCGTGAGCAGGAATCGAACTTGGGTCACCGGGTTCGTAGCGCAGCGCGCTAACCGCTACACCTCCGCTCCACACATTCAATACGCGCACACACGCGCGGATATATTCAGCGACGTTTCGGCCAATAGCCCCTTCTTCATAGCCCAATAGAGGCCAGAGAGACCGAGTGGATGTTCAGAGTTGGAGACTGCACTTTACATCACGGTGCCTGTTGAGAATTACTTTTGATAAATTACTCTTTCTGCTGAAGTATGAGTAGTTTACCTATCAATTCTAAGACAAACCTTTCAGTGATAATAATAAACACAACCATGACTACCTAAACCAATTTACATTACAACTAAAATAACAATTAAACAAATATATTGTTGCCACGTTACTTTCCGATTGGCTGACCATTGCACAATTAACAAAATAATAAAAACAACCAACACACTCGTCAATAACAACACCACCGTGTGAGTGCGTGGCTTTAAAAAGAAAACACTGTGTATATATAACAGGAAACGTTTCGGGCAATGGCCCTTCTTCGTAGTACTGGAATAGCTCCAGCACATTGCGAGCGCACTAAAGGGCGGGGCAGGCGGAGCCAGGTGAACACCTGTACATGACCACGCCCATATTTCCACAGACCACGCCCCCCACATAGGCTCCTCCTACTCTCGCATTTTTCCCAGTCCCCCTTGTGTCAACCAATCGACGCACACCTCCCCTCTAATCCACGCCCATATTCGTCACATGCCCCGCCCACCGTTACATTTGGACCCCTCCTCCCTTGCGTTAACCAATCGACGCACACCTGCCCCCCCGAGTTTACGCTAACATTTGTCACATGCCCCACCCACCCTCGCATTTGGCCCCGCCCTTTGCGTTAACCAATCGACGCATACCTACCCGCAAGTCCACGTCCACTTTTGTCACAATTACCCTCGTCTACCCGCCGCGTTTGGACCTCCCCTCTCTCTTGCGTTAACCAATCAACGAACACCTGCCTCCGAGAGTCCACGCCCATATTCGTGACATGCCCCGCCCATCGCTGCGTTTGAACCCCCCCCTCTTTCGCGTTAACCAATCGACACAACACCTGCCCTCGAGTCCACGCCCACATTTGTCACATGCCCCGACCACCCTCGCGTTCAGAACCCCCCCCTGCCTTGCGTTAACCAATCGACGCACACCTGCCCCCCCAGTCAACGCCCACATTCGCGACATGCCACGCCCCCCACAGACACCTGGCCGAGTTCCCCCTCCCCTCATCCCCACAACCTTGTGCACGTGACCAGAAACTGGGCCTAGCCTCTCCGCCTCTGCCTCCCGCGCAGCTCTTCGGGGGTTACGCGAACCTCCTCCTCCCCCCCCCCGTGCCACCGCTCGTCCCCAACGGGGGATCAGCGGCGGGGACCCCGGATTGAAGGGGACCCTCCCCCCCCCGCGCGCGTGGTGAGGAGGAGGTGGAGTGAGGGGGGGCGCCCAAGCCCAGGAGTTTATGGGGACCAGGCTCCGCGTTCGTTTCCTTCCCTCAGGTGAGGGAGGCCGCGGTGGTGTTTGTTGTTGTTTGTTATTGCGCGGTGACGTCGCGCGCCTGATGAAGGACCCGTAGGTCGAAACGTCGCCGAGTGGTTTTGTGCGCCCGCCGTGTCGCCGAACAGTTACCAGTGGTGTTTTTGTTTTGCTTCATCGCGGCGATTATCGCCGCTCGCGATGTCGACCGGGGTGCGATCGCCGTAACGTCGTCCCCTTCGGCACAAACAAACAAAAAATATGTCGCGATGGGATCATCGTTGCCCGTAAATGTTTCATTTCCACACTAAATATGTTACGATGTAACCAACTCTGGACTGATTGCAGATTATATAATGTTCAGCGTAGCTCCGTTTTAAACGCGCGTACAGCACGTGACATTTGAACTTGTTCAAGCTGTGTCGGGTGGTGGAGGGTCTTAACGGCACGCTATTTGACAGATAATTAACGTGGCCAAATCCCCCCTGCAAAAAAAAAATCCATTACGAATGTGCGGTTAGAATTGTATACACATAGCTATTATCCAATACATAATTACTTTGCAACAGGTTTTTTTTGGGAGCAATTGTAATTGATTACGAAACGGCATGATTTTCACGGTTCCTGTCATGATTTAATTGTTTATTGTGTAACTAACAGCATGTGCTGGATGATCGTTTCGGACCGCTCATCAACCGCATTATATCGGCGCGCGTTCCGCGTTGTACGGACGGTGTTCCCTCGTGGAATCCGATGAGCTGTAAAGCTCTTTTTCACATGTCCAGTAGGAGTGGGTCAACGTTACAACAACGTCCAATTAAAAAATAACACGATAAGATTGCAAAGTACAGGAAAGGTAAACAAATAACTTTAAGGAAAATATACAAATAAAATAAAAATTGAAAAATGAGAATAGGTTTTACCCTTTCTGGAAATAAAACCGGAGGCGTTAAGATGTTCAAACACTGAATAAGAGCCTTTTGCAAGGAATGAAGTCTGCATTCACCACAAGTATTTGTGTAGAACATGCAAACAAACATGCTCTGAACAGGTCCCTGCAGGGTGGGCTGGTAGGAACATTGGAATTTTGCGCAATTTTATGACATTGTTACGCATTCCTCTTACGTGACTTCCAAATGTTGGGTGCAATAAGACATATCAAGTCTCTGCGCTGTCTATTGCTGATTTTACACCCAACAGTACGAGATTTCACTTCGTTAAAGTATTGAAAGGGGACGGACGGACGGACACATTAATCTATTGCAGGCTGGTACACTCAGTTTACAACTTCGTTCCTACCAGTATAATTAATGTGTAGCGGCATAGTGCTGGCTGCTGGTGAAAAAGGGGAACTGCGGTGTACGGCAGTATTGAAGTCAGCAGGCCATGTTAGACACGGGAGGGGGGCATCTATAGGAAAGGTCACAGAGGGGGGGGTAGGGGTGGTTCCCCATGGGGAAACCTCTGGAACTCGCGAGTAGGTTCCAGAGAGGGGGCGTGGGAGGTGGCTGAGCGAGGCCACTCTGAAAGTGGAAGAGGGGCTCCTGTGAGGGACCTCGTGGCTTGTGCCGGAGTGGGATCCACGTCGTGCTGTTCAAGATCGTCGTTGCTGTCGTCGTCACTCGACATTGCGCTGCTAGATGGTTGTTGGCTGTCTCGGTTCAGCGCCGTCAGCGTTAGACGGTTAGTGTTGTGTATAGGTTAGCAAGCCACTTAGAGTTGTGTATAGGTTAGCAAGCCACGTAGAGTTGTGTATAGGTTAGCAAGCCACGTAGAGTTGTGTATAGGTTAGCAACCCACGTAGAGTTGTGTATAGGTTAGCAACCTACGCAGAGTTGTGTATAGGTTAGCAAGCCACGTAGAGTTGTGTATAGGTTAGGAAGCCATGTAGAGTTGTGTATAGGTGTATAGGTTAGCAACCCACGTAGAGTTGTGTATAGGTTGCGAAGCCACGTAGAGTTGTGTATAGATTAGCAACCCACGTATAGTTGTGTATAGGTTAGCAACCCACGGAGAGTTGTGTATAGGTTAGCAAGCCACGTAGAGTTGTGTATAGGTTAGCAAGCCACGTAGAGTTGTGTATAGGTTAGCAACCCATGTAGAGTTGTGTATAGGTTAGCAACCCACGTAGAGTTGTGTATAGGTTAGCAACCCACGTAGAGTTGTGTATAGGTTAGCAACCTACGTAGAGTTGTGTATAGGTTAGCAACCCACGTAGAGTTGTGTATAGGTTAGCAACCCACGTAGAGTTGTGTATAGGTTAGGAAGCCACGTAGAGTTGTGTATAGGTTAGCAACCCACGTAGAGTTGTGTATAGGTTAGCAACCCACGTAGAGTTGTGTATAGGTTAGCAAGCCACGTAGAGTTGTGTATAGGTTAGCAACCCACGTAGAGTTGTGTATAGGTTAGCAACCCACGTAGAGTTGTGTATAGGTTAGCAACCTATGTAGAGTTGTGTATAGGCTAGTGACTGCAGAGTGTCTACCTACGTGGGGTGTGTATTTTCCCGATGGTGCTCGTTAAATTAAAGAAATGCCTCCAAGTCTTATCGTCTCCGAGTTAAGTCACTACATCTGCAATGTCTCGTGTAGGCCAATCAGTTTCAAAGACAATGCATATATTATCAGAGCATGTTTGTTTGCATGTTAATTACAAGTACGTGTGGTTAATGCAGACTTGATTCCTTGCACAAGGTATATATTTGTTTGAACATCTTAACACCTGTTTTATTACCAGAAAGGCTACAAGCTATTCTTATTTTTCATACTGTGATACTCACAAAAGGTCCCATGATAAAATTTAATATTTTGTTGTCTTACCAGGTAAAGCCCACTTGATCTTTTCGGTTCTTTACAGAAGCAAACTTTGCTACAAATGACAGCTCAACGAAGTGGCTTATCTGGAAATGTATAGGCTCTTGTCAGATGTTTATGGGCGCCACTGTGGCGAGATGTTAACTACAGCATCTGGTATACAGAAAGTGGTGGGTTCGATCCAGACCCTGACGCCTGTATATTTGGAGTTTGTGTCTCCCCCCCGTGGTTGTATGAATTTTTCTCCGGGTCCCCCGGTTTTTCCCTCCACGTTTAAAATCAACATGCGTTTAGGGTATTTGACTGCTGCTATTAATTCCACGCGATAAGCCACTGCGTTGCACTTATAAGTTGTGGCCAAGTCGCTTCTGAAAAAGACCTCTATAGCTCGGTGGGCCTTACCTGGTAAAATAAAAAAAGCTAGTTTTCAATATTCGTAGTTTTACTCGAACCAAGACCTGCTTTGCCGCCTCCCGTTAACGAATGTCGCCACTGCATGTGTTTGGGCAGGGCAGAGTGGGGCGCTGACGGGGACCGAGGGGGCAGTTCGGCGACAACCAGGGCCGTCGTCACACCACGGTGTCCAAAATCCCAACCAGTTTCACCAGTTTCACCAGGACCACAAGGACCACAAGACATACCGCATCCCATCTGCCAGGGGAACCTCCAGTAACGTACGTATGTGTATGTTGAACTCCTTTCGCCGGCGTACGTTGCCAGCCGTGCTCATCGGAGGTGCGGCGGAAGGACAACATAGCCCACACTTTGTTTACACTCCACGCGTACCTTGGCTGGCATGTATCGCTTTAGGAGGTTTGGGGGGTGGGGACATACCTCAGTGAGACGAACCGAGGTCAGATTTTTTTTTGGGCAAAAAAATATATTTTGCTGGCCGGGTTGAAGTCCAGACTGTGGATGGGGTGAAATTATTTCGAGACTACAATCTTAAACTGCATTGCATGAATGACCTGTAGCCTCGTTAGGCTTTGTATTCCATCGCTCAGTAACTTTGAAGGAGACGAACGTTATTTATTTAAGGGTATTCCAGTAACAACAACGCAGTGCAAAAAGAAACTGATGCAGACAAAATACAAAATTATGCAGGACAACCACCAGATTTTATAATAGTGATTTACCATTCTTTCTCAGTCCTGTCAAGTCATGGGGGTTGGTTGACCATGCTTCACCATGCTGGCCAGAGCCAGTTGATTAAAGGATTTTGGGGGGGGGGGGTGGGTGGGAGGTGGGGTTACCAGGACAAGTTTGATATCAAACGTCTCTAATGTCAGCTATGGCCTGGGATTGAATTGAGGTTACTGGGTCCATAGTGCAGTGTGAGAACCATTGCACCACTGTGTTATTAAGGTGATCGCTACATTTAGCTGTGAGGTTGCCTAATTTTTTTCCGCCGTAGGTCTTTATAGCGTTTATCGTCCCGGGTCGATGTCGAAATCATCCGACCATTCGACCGAGTTCAGTTAACCTTGGTATTCCACTTTCTAGCCAGCACCAGAAGAGGCCGTCCTCCACAATGTGGACGTCTGTTTGGTGGACACCACCAAAGTCGTGTGCGAGTAGGGGTGACGTGCCCACTAGCATGCCTGCCAAATCGGTGTGCCAAGCCAGCGTGCCAATTTCGACAGTAGCCACACACTAGTCTTATTAAGCCAGACCCAAGACAATCCAGCCAGCTGGGGCCAATGGGTCATACATAGCTCGTCTTTGGTGTTTCCTTCCGGTCAGACCGCGCGCGACCTACACAAGAATGACGTCGCCCAAGTGCGGTAAATTGACTCATGGACAAGTGAAGTTTACGGGACTGCTTTGGCAGTGATGCACAAGAACATATAAATAAAATAAATCACAAAAAGCTCCTTTCTGTCCCCACTCCTTCCTCCGAAGTATTGACGTTACCCGGAATGTCAGCCTTTTATTTTCGCGTTTAAAAGAAATGCGGTGCGAATGAGTAATTCGGTGAGATTTTTTCAGGGAATGTCACACAAAGATGTGCGGAGGCTTTTGTAAATGACACATTCACATGCAGGTCAGGGACGTAGCCGGCGCTCAGTTTCTCCCTGAATGTTTTCTCGGTCGCTGGTGGACTTCGAGCAGGCACGTGACTAGCAGCCACAGCCGTAGTGAGAGGTATAATGGATGTGGTGTGCCGATTGCGACATGTTTTTTTGGGATCGCTGGTAGGCTGGAGGCATTTGATCAGTAACAACAGGCATAACGAGAGTTATGATATAATGTCATAATTTAAGAAATGCAAAATGATGATTGAAGCATCTCTGGCACGATACATTTTGCGTGCCAGGTGCAGAAATATGTTCTGGCTTGCCGACCCGGACATTCTTGGCTGAAGTTATCCTGTTAATAACAAATGCGTAGATTAATGTTGTATTCTTTAAGCTCACAACAACATGCGTAGAAACGTGCGCGTAAGGGGCAACGTTTTTCTCTTTGTACATGTTGTGTTGCAATGGCTTCACGTCACGCCTGCGGTGCGCATTTCGACACCTTTCCAGTTCAAATTGTAAGTTTATTTTGTTTAACCGGGTGAGAACTGAAGGCTTCTGGATAGTCTCATTTGTCATTAGCTTGCCGACAGGCATGGATGATTGCTGCTGTGTGTGATTCCAATTGAGTAATTTGTCGTGTAATTTTTGAATTTTGAAAATGTGGACCCTGACGCCATTACACAGAATCAGAAGTGTATTTCTCTAGCCGTTTCTCGAGTAAAGCCCATTAAGCTAAAAGATACATTTTAAAGGGGTGACCTTGGCTGGCAGCCAACATCACAGCATTCCACAATTACAGGTAAAAAAATAATACAAATTATATCGCACAATTACATTCACACTTAAACTTGGCCTGCTCTTGCGAGTGACTTCAGGGGATCTTTAACGTCCATTCTGAGTGAAGCAGACGCCGTGTAGTTTTATTATTGTTATTACTGCGGCTATTACACACTGTAGTATTAATCATGGTGGCCGCTGGATTCGAACTGTCAACGTCTGCAATGAGCGTTGAACGCGCTGCCGCTAGGCCGTGTGTGTTGGGGTGTGCAGTAGACGTGCGCTGACATGTGCACTGGAGAGAGTACGTTCGGCATGTGAAGCAATTGGCGGGACCCCGGGGTCCCATCGCTGCTCCGGGGTGGGAAAAACCGCGTAGCGACACGAGTCTTGCTGCCTTACCGACAACAAAACTAGTGGTCAATCGATTGGCCTCGTCGAGAGCTACTCAGGGCACTAAGTTTCGTAAAAAGTTGAAAAATTACATAAACACGTTAAATTCACTGCCTGGGGGCGGGCTCGCCTTGGCAAAGAAGCTGAGGATCGACGGCTGACCGGAGGGCGTTGTCACCGCGCGCGACTGCGGCGGACGCCCCCCCGGGGCTTGCGTTTGGCCGGTGGGGTGGCACCCATCGTTTTGATCGCCACCTGCTGCTGCTGCTGCTGCTGGCGCGAGTCTGGGCGGGCGGCACGTTGCTGTCGGGATCACGAGTGGGCGGACTGAAAAATAATCATTATTGACCTAATTTTTGCGGGACCCCGGGGTCCCGCCAAATGATTCGTGTGTTAAAAAGTGTTGCGTTGAGTTGCGTCAGGGTGTGTGATGTGGCATTGGGTGTGGCGTGCAGCGACATCTTCCCAGTGGCGAGCGAGCGAGGCAAGACCCTGACGCTCATCGCCTTGTCCCGCCAGCGCAGCACAAGCACCAACACGGGGACAGCCTGCAGAAACTAGTGGAGAACAGTGACCGGTACAAGGAAGGTCTGCGTGAGCTAGTGCATTACAAGGACGGGCATAAGGAGAGTCTACAGAAACCAGAATACATCAAGGACGGGCATAAAGAAAGTGCTTACAGGCTAGCGGATGACAAGGACCGACACAAGGAAAGTGTGTATAAGCCAGCGTATAGCAAGGACAGGCATAAGGAGAGTGTGTACATGGCAATACAAAAGAAGGAGAGTATCCCGAAACCAGTGTACGATAAGAACCAGAATAAGGAAATGCTGTACAAGCCAGTATATCATAAGGAGCGGTACAAGAAGAATTTGGACAGATCGGTATATCATAAGGACCGGTATAAGGAAAGTGTAGACAAGCCAGTACATCATAAAGACCAGTATAAGGAAATTCTGGATAAGCCGGTACATCATAAAGACCTGAATAAAGAAAGTCTGTGCAAGCCAGTACACCATCAGAACCAGTACAAGGAGAGAGCCCCTCAGCGAGTGCATAACAGGGACCGGTCTACAGACAGTCCGGTTGATAAAACTCAGAGGGCAGCCAAGGAAAGGGGTGACAGCCCGAGTCACACGACCGTGCAGAGGCAAGAAAGGCCGAGTTGGCAAAAACCGAGTTTGGAGAAGTGGGACCCGTTCCGACCGAGACGGACGAGGCAGGTGCATCCCGACGGCAGCCACAGCCACACCTGGAGTGTGGTCACACCGGGGTCTGGAGCGAATGGGCCTCATCGAGGGGTCAAGGGGACCCGGGGGACGGAGGGGGTCCGCGGGGCAAAGGAGCTGGCGGGGTGCGCCCTGTCGAAACGGTCGCAGGAGGAGTACGCGTGGCTCGCGGAGCGACTGGGCGAGCAGGGAAAGGTGAGGGCTCCCGCTCCCATCACTGCTCCCCGATTTGTGAAAGAAAACTGAAAAACAAATTCCTGTACCAGGACTACCTGCACTGACACTGTGGCCCACCACTTGCACCATTGCCCACTCACACCTGGACCGCAGCTATCTGCATCACCACCACCCACTCATATTTGAACCACTACCACCACCCACACCCACCTGCACTACCACCAACAACAACAACCGCCATTCACCACTAAGTGGCGGTGACGTCACCACGACGCTTGTGCCAGGCTATGTGCATTTGATGCCACGTGAAGTGTCGAACACCCGCTGGCAGGAGGTCACGGGGCAGACCCAGGTGCCACGGGTCAACTCACTGAGATGGCCTGCTGATGCACTACCACCTGTACCACCACCACACACCTGTACCACCACCACCACCCACTCACATCTGGACCACCACCTGTGCCACCACCTGTGCCACCACCTGTATCACCATCTGTACCACCATCTACTCACACCTGCACCACCTCTGCACAGCTACACTGTGACCTGTACCACTACCCACTCAAACTTGCATTTCCCCCCCCCCCCCACCACGTGGGTTTCATTGCAGTAGGAGTTACTAAATTTATGCCTCTGGTTCCACAGAAATGCCGGGCATACTCGGAGCGTTGCTCGCAGGTTAAGCACAGCACTGAGGCCGCCAGGTGAGTACGTGTGTGTGACTCTGCGTGTGCTCGCTGCCGGGCAGTGGTTTCAATGCTGCGGTACAAACCTGGCGACCGGAGTTCGATTCTCGCTCACGGCCAACACCGGTGACGATTATCTGAACCGCTCATGGGCCTCCCCTAGGGGGACTCAGCCTCAAATGAGTACCTGGTATGGTGTGTACGCATCGCCGCTGGGGAGACAAAGGCGGTCGGACTCGGTGCTGGCCACCCACCCCCTCGTGTGCCATGCCACAACCTTCATTGGTGACCCAACAACAGTCTGTTAAGGCTATTAAGGGGGATCTTTGTGTGCGCGCCTCAAGGTGTACCTAGTCTGGCACTAGCGCCACTTAGTGGCAGCGGTGGTGGTTCTTGTTGTGACTTTGTTGTTGTGACTGTGTGTGAATATACGTGGGGAGCGGTGGCGCATGCTTAGCACGTGCTGTGCTACAACCCCGCGACCCATGTTCGATACTCACTGCCAATAATCGGTGACGAATATCTGAACCGGTCCTGAGCCTCTCCCAGGTCGACTCCGCCTTAAATGAGTACCTTGTGCGATGGGTAAACATAAGCATTGGTGGAAACGAATGTAGCGGAGAGAGGTTTTGGACACGCCACCCCCTCGTGCACCGTGCTGGCCTTAACAGCCTGTAAAGTCTGCCCGGGGCGATCTTTGTTGTCTTTGTTTTATCGTAGGTTTGAGGAGATGGCTGAACAAGCAACGCGGCTGCAGGTGCTCCTGGAGATGGCGCAGAGGCAGGGGGCACCGGCCCCCACACACACCCTCACGCGCGAGACTCTGCACGTGCCCAGGTTCCGCACACACCCCAAGAAACACCCACAACATCCAGCCTCCTCACCAACACACGCCACAACACCCAGCTACCCACCAATGTGCACCACCACACCCCACAACACCCAGCCACTCACTAACACATCACACACCTGGGTAATGAACCAGCCACATACTACAACGCTCAGCCACCCACTAATACGCACCACACACCACTCAGCCACCCACTAATACACACCACACACACAACGCTCAGCCACCCACTAATACACAACATACACAATGCTCAGCCACCCACTAATACACACCACACAACACTCAGCCACCCACTAATACACACCACACAACACTCGGCTACCCACTAATACACACCACACACACAACGCTCAGCCACCCACTAATACACAACATACACAACGCTCAGCCACCCACTAATACACACCACACAACACTCAGCCATCCACTAATACACACCACACAACACTCAGCTACCCACTAATACACACCACACACACAATGCTCAGCCACCCACTAATACACACCACACAATGCTCAGCCACCCACTAATACACACCACACAACGATCAGTCACCCACTAATACACACCACTCAAGGCTCAGCCACCCACCCAACACACAACGCTCGACCACCCACCAATACACACCACACACACAACGCTCAGCCACCCACTTCTACACACCACTCAGCGCTCAGCCACCTACTAATACACACTACACAACGCTCAGCCACCCACTAATACACACCACACAACGCTCAACCACCCACCAATACACACCACACACAACGCTCAGCCACCCGCTAATAATACTACACAATGCTCAGCCACCCACCAATGCACGTGTTCTGCATGATTGACCCGCCGACTGGTTGGCGGCATGTTGTCTAGCTTCTGCAACACGATATTGAGGATTTTTTAAGTAGCTGGGCGGTACAAAATTACAACCAAATATTTGAGAGTTAAAAAGCACGTTTTCACTGATTCAATTTACATAATGTAAATACCAAAATTGAGTCGTGCAGCACGCCCTAGTTTCGGAGATCGGATGGCAGACGGGGCTATAGTTAACGACGGAACGGAGGCCCACGGAGGGAGGCATGGATGAAGGGAGGTAGACAACAAAAACTGAAATAGTGGCACGAGATGAGAAGATTTCAATGGAGATGTCGAGAAATGTTTAAGAGTAGAAGAAATTGAGGCAAGGAATTTGCCCAGCAGTGGCATGTTAACGGCCAGGACAGACGGACGGCAAGAAAGAAAAGGCGGCTGGCGTGAGCTCACAGATGTGGTTACTGCGCCGCACACACAAAATTACTGTTTGGCTATCATTTACCGGCAAACCCAGCTGTGGTTTGGCGCTCCGTGCAGCTGTAGCGTTTGAGGCTGGTGCAAGCTCCACGCAGCAAATGGCGCCCACAGCAACATTGAACCTTTTACATTATTTCCTTCCTTTGTACGGCATTTGAAAGGCAGCGGACCGAGCTGTTTACTGCCTTTTTGAGTTTGGAAAGCCATTTAACGGTGTCTGGGTCAGCCAGATGGATTGCGTTTGTACCTCCCGCAAAAGTATGTGTGTATGTGTGTATGGGGAACGTTAGCACAGTGGTTAGCACGTGCGCTGCGCTAGGAACCCGGAGCCCTGAGTTCGATTCCCGCTCATGGCCACCAACACTAGTGACGATTATCTAAACATTTCCTGGGCGGTCGACTCAGCCTTGAACGAGTATTTTGTGCAGTGGTTACACATCGCCACTGGACAGACAAAAAGGCGGCCTGGCGTAGTGGTGGCCACCCACCTTCTCGTGCGTTGTGCCAGCCTTCATAGGTGCTCGCTAACAGCACTTGCCCCAATAGACAGTTGCAGGCTACACGGGGGATCTTTGTTGGTGATGATGGGAGCGATGGCGTTCGCACTTGACCGCGGTCATTATTGGATGCACGTAGACTCGTACAGAGGCCTGTGCAGTCTCGGCAGTCATTTTCTATTAAAGGCCTAGAAATTGATGCAAGGGGCAGATCGTGTAACACGCTGGCAACAGATGTTTTTAGGTGCTCTTTTGACGATTATGAAAATTTCTGTTGCCAAGCACAGATTTTTGGCCTGAAGTCTGATTTTTTGGCCTGAGTTGAAGATGGTCACCGAATCAAAATAGACTGTCATGTGACGGGTTTGAGATTGGCTAGACTTGAATTGTTACAACTTTTAAGCGAGTTATCAACGTGAAAAAAACCTAACTATGTATGCTTTAAAATTATATATGTGTGTCCCAAAAAATGCAAATGTGAGCTTTTCAATGTGGCAGCTTACCAACTGATAAAAGCTCTTTGGAGCGAACAAATTAAAGTTCCTCGGATGTCCCTCAAATTTTTTATTCAAATATTTCTCCAGCTAGGATTGGCAAGGGCAACGTTGCCTAACTCAACCTTAAATGAGTACCTACTGTGGTGTGTGTAAATATTGGCAGTGGGGGGAGAACAAAGGTGGTCGTGCTTGTTCCTTGCCACACCACTCTCCCTCGTGGTCGTCAACAGCACTTGCCCCCAGCAGCCTGTTGCAGGTTACCCCGTGCCCTCTTTGTCTTCGTACACGTAAGTGTGCATGCACGTGTGTGAATCCGTATGTTGGTGTGTGCCACAAGGTATAACACGTGACCCCCCCCCCCCCCCCCGTGCGTAGGGTCAACCCTGACCTGGCTGCTGGTGACCTCCTGGTGACCGTCTTCCGGGGTCACGACCTTTGCCCCCCCTCCACTCCAGGTGAGGACGCGATGACGCGGGCGTGAGGGGCTTGTCTGTCTACCGAAGACAAAGATACCCCGTATAACCTTAACAGACTGTTGGGGCAAGTGCTGTTTGCGAGCACCCATGAAAGTCGGCACGGCGTACACGAGGTGGTGGGTGGCCAGCACCACCCCCGGCTGCCTTTGTCTCCCTATCGGCGATGATTTTGCACACCGTACCAGGTACTCATTTGAGACTGAGTCGGCCTAGAAGAGAGCCAAGACCGATTCATATAATCGTCACTGATGGTGTTTGCCTTGAGCGGGAATGTAACTCGGGTCGCCGGGTTCATAGCGCAGCGCTCCCACCGTACACCTGGTGACCCACGACCCACACAAAAAAGGAACGGCTGGGATGCATGTGTAGTGACTGACTTGGAGACGTAACTTCTCGGAAGCAACTCTTGATTTAAACACCGAGCACACTTTGTACACTTTATACACACCCTACACTGTTACACACTCTCTGTCTCTCGCGGAAACGCAACTCTACACTGGTTGCCAGCCTACACACAACGCTAGTCGTCTGAGACTGATGGCGCTGAACTAAGCCAACAATGTATAGCGGCGCAATATCACGTGGAGACGACAGCGACGAAGGCACGAGCCGACAGCGGCGATGGTGACGATCTTCAGCAGCAACGACAATGGGAATCCATCTCCAAACGACAGCCCCGAGGTCCCCTCCCGGGGCCCCTCTTATACTGCCAGCGTGGCCTGGCTCCGCCCTGGGCACGCCCCCCTTCTGGAACCTGCCAGCGGGTTCTCAATGTGCCCCTTCCGTAATCTTTCCCCTTAATCCCTCTCGGGTCTATCACGTGGCCTGCTGTCAGTCAGGGCTGCTGCAAGCTGCAGATCCCTTTCCCTGCCAGCAGCCAGCGCTATGCTGCTACGTGACCAATTCTGTCACTACACATGCTTGGAATTGCGCTGAGAGACAGGAAGACGGAACACGTGGATCTGAGAACGTGAGCAAAGTTCGAGACGGGACACACCGCCGCCGCCAGAACGGGGCGCGTTTGCCGGGAATTGAAGAATGAGTTGCAACCATAGTGCCAGAACACGCCCAGAGAGAGAGAGAGAGAGGACGTCTACCGTGGAGGTGGAGCAATCAAATTGGCTCGTTGCGGGTGCTAGGCGGATTATTACTTCGCGAGGTTATGAGAGATGACTGCTTGGTGGCACAGCCATCAATCCGTCAGTGTTTTTTTCATGCCCCGAATGATGATGGTGATGATAAACTGTCGATTATAAACGCGTATTTTACTGACGTTTTGTCATGACATGTAACTCTTAATTTAGGCGAGGTCACTTGCTATGTTTAGGTCTTCTCTAAAAACGTACGACCCAGTGGTCCCTGGACTTTGTATTTATTATATTTCTTAACTTCGTGCGTGGTCCACTGAGATCCCCCTGGATCTAACCCAAAAACCTTTATTATGAATCCCTGGATGAATTGCGCCTTATAAAATGTAAACTATTATTATGTTTTTTTCCCGATGAGTATTGTGTCACCGTGTGCTGCGTGTTGTGTCTCGCTGTACTTTCCCCTGTGTTGTAATGCACGTTGAATCCTCCTCTAACTCTTTACCGATTGTGCGTCGTTAAGATTGCGTGTAGACAGGTGAGTGTTCTCACGGTGGCGACCCGCTTCGTATTGTTGCGTGTGTCGAACACTCTGTACTGATTGTCACGCGTCGTAGTGCGTGTCGTGTCATCACTCGTGTCGCTGCGTCTTTGTCGATGCTTGTTGCCATGCCACGCGTATTGCGTGTGTGCACTGTGTGTGTGTGTGTGCGTACGTTCATTGTCACTTCGTGTCTCTCCCCCCCATGCCACGTGTGCAATCAGGTGTGGCGAAGCATGGACTGCACGCATTCGTAAAAATCGAGGTGCCCCTGCCATGCCCGGTGAGTGCCGGCACCCAGACTTAACGAAAACTGAACAATTTAAAAAAATGTTACTAGGTAAGGCCCACTAAGCTCTTAGCTTATTTTTCAAAAGTGACCTGGCCACTAATGATAGCTCAACGAAGTGGACATTTTTCTAGCAGCCAAATACTCTGAACGCACGTCGATTCTAAATGTGGAGGGAAAAACCGGAGGACCCGGAGAAAAATCCACGCGACATGCCTAGCTCTCAATATACAGCACGCGTCAGCTTCGAGGTCCAACCCAGTACCTACTGCATATAGCCCAGCGTCATTCTCGTTAAAAAAAATATTCATGTGGGGACGAAACCAGAGCACCCGGAGAAAACCCCCGCACCTTGCGCGAGGAGGGGGAAGGGGGGCAACGCTCTATCCCCGTATAGATGGAATAAACATAGGGCGATAAGTCCATTTGCTGTACTGCCTTCTCTTGGTGAAGGGAGTTTCACAATAATATTTGTGTGGTGATCCACCAGCCCTTGCTGCCGCCTTCACCAGGCAGCCACGTGTAGCCGCCACCGCCCGCCATTTTTTGATCGTCTTCATGAGCTTTATCTTGACCCCCTGTTGCAGACAGGTGGACGGAGCTAGTGCGACTGCGAATCCGAGCCTTTAGTTGGAAAACGTGAGGAGGTTGGCGGCAGCATGTACGTACGTACATGTGTTGAAATTCTTTCGGGCCGTACGTAGCCAACCGCGCCAATCTGAAGTTGCCGGGGAAAGACATCAACAGGAATGAGCTTAACCCAGTGACGCTTGCGAATGTTTTCTTTGGACGCAGAAGGCGTCCCAGAGGGAGAAGACTAGCACGCAGAGCGGCACGTGCCCAGGTCAGTCACCCCCCCCTCTCTGCTGCTGGGTTTGGTGTCTGTCTGTCTGTGGCTGACCTCCGTGCGTGTCTTGCCGGAGTAGATTTTGTCCGTCTGCGCGCCGCAAACGGAGTTCGTGTGTCTCGTCGCTTTCAGAAATTCACACGTGTGTCTGTGTGTCCTTTGCGTAGTTGGTGTGTCTGTGTCTTGCTTGTTGCAAATAGCGTTCATGTTGATGAAACAGTAAGAATAGGTTTTACCCTTTCTGGCAATAAAACAGGAGGTGTGAAGATGTGCAAACGCCGAGCCACCACCAAACTGTGGTACTTCTGGCTTCTCAAGACACCTGAACCTGGCATCGGGGCCAAGCAGGGCCAGGGTTGGGGCGTCTCGACCCGTTAACTGCGCTTGCCCTTCAATGACCAGGCTTGGGTTCTGCAGTGGAAAAACTAGGCTAAAACTAAACTAAACTTTTTTTTTTATTTGACCAGGTAAGGCCCAGTGAGCTATGTTCTAGCTCTTTTTCACAAGCGACCTGGCCACAAATTATAGCTCAACCAAGTGGCTTATCACGTGGATATGTATAGCAGCCAAATACTCTAAACGCACGTGGATTCTAAATGTGGAGGGAAAAACCAGAATACCCGGAGAAAAATCCACGTGACCACGGGGAGAACATGCAAACTCCAATTATACAGGCGTCAGGGTCGGGATCGAACCAACGACCTCCTGCATACCGGGCGAGTTGGTTAACATCTCGCCACCGCGGCGCCACAACTGGGAGCTTCCTGAGCCGCCTGCCAGGCTGGCTCGGCACAGCCCCGGCGCAGCTTGGGTGCGCGGTGGAAAACCGTTGTCCACCCGTGTCTCCTTTGCAGAGTTCAACGAGAGTTTCAAGTTCACTCTTCAGCGTGGGTCTCTTGGGTTCCTCAACGCCGTGCGCCAAGGAGACATCTCCTTCCTGCTGCTCCACAAGGGGTGAGGGAGGCGGTCGGGATGAGGTCGGAAGGTGGAGGTCAAAGGGGCAGCAGAGGGTGGGGCAGAGATGGCGCGTGGGGTTAACTAACGGCTTCTGGTTGACGGTGCTTCTGTGTGTATGTGTGTGTGGTCTTGCCCGGATGTGGTGCTGGCCAACCCCACCCCCTCGTGTGCTGTACCGGCCTTCATAGTTGCTCGCTAACAGCACTTGCCTCAACAATCTGTTAAGGCTCTACGGGGGGATTGTTGTAAGCGTGTGTGTGGTCTTTTTTGGATGTGGTGTTGGCCACCCATCACCCTAGTGTGCCGTTCTGGCCTTCATAGGTGCTACTCGCGAACAGCACCTGCCCCAACAGTCTGTTAAGGCTATACGGAGGATCTTTGTCTTTGTGTGTGCACAGCCCACTGGGAAGTGAGTGGGCTCTGGGAGAAGCTGTGCTGGGGCTTCGCACTCTGCTCGGTCGCTGTGAGGTGACGGCGACCTTACCGGTACATTAACGCCAACGCTGCTGCTTCCACTGCTGCCACCGTTGATGCCACTGCTGCTGCTGCTGCCACTGCGCATATGCCCCCCCTAAGCCTGTACTAGCCCAGTCATAGGCCAACCATACTTAACCCTGTCCAAGCCCAACTTTAACTCCGTCCTAACGTTGTCCTAGTTCCACACTATGCTATCCTAACCCCCATCCTAAATCTATCCTGACTTTGTCCGAACACCGAACTAGCCCCATCCCAATCCTAATCCTTGCCCCATCCTAGCGCTGTCCCAATCTCACTCTCGCACTGCGTTAACAATGGAGATAAGAATTTAAGAGTCCTTTGTGCTCTCCGCTGTTGGATGAAGGCCTCCCCCATGCCGCTTCGGTCACGGAAGAATATTTGACCATACTTTGCCAAACTTGTCAGTGTGAGTTGTGGGAAGAGCCCTGTTCTATGCCAGCCCGAACCCTGTCATAATAGCCCCATGCTATCCCTGTCTTTGAGTTCTAACCCGCTCATAGCGTCACGCTAGTCTAGCCCTAGCCTTTGGCACGCCCTGCTATTGTGTCCAGCTACACATAGTACCTGATATAATTGAGCACCTACCGATTCACTCCAGTCTCTCGCTTGCTATCCGTGAACTTCAAGCGTGGATTTCTTCAACCACGTTGATGAGGACTCGGTCTGCCAGACACTGACTTTTATCTCATCCTCCACACCGTGTTCAGCGACCACACTGCAGGTCACAGCAACACACTCAATCGCTCACTCGCTCATTCGCTCAAACCACTCATTCACCCATTCGCACAACACACCGGAGGTCACAACACATCTCTTTCTGCCTCTTGCCTTGCACTGCTGCACTTTAGAATCCCCTCCCGTCATCACTTCTCCCAAGCCCTTATAATAACTTTGCGCAATTCAGGAAACGTGTTAACTCTTGCGAATTACAGCTTTCAAAGTGCTGCTTGTTATTGGCCGATGACCATTTAGGCCTTTGGGACTGGGCTCAACAGCCGTGTTCACAAAGTAACAACAATAATTATCGCGGCGTCCGACTCACAGTAAGGTTGTGCTGACCCTGACCCTGACCCACGTGGCGTGAGTAGCTCCGGAGGTCGGGCCGGGAGGGGGAGGGGTCGCGGGGGGCGGCTGGCTCCGTGGACGTGCTGGTGCGCGCCCGTTCACCCCTGGGGGGCGGCTGGGACCTGGAGGAGGTGGAGGAGGAGTGGCTGCAGCTGAACCCCGTGCACACGCATGTACGTGCACACGCACGCACACGCATGTACGTGCACACGCACGCACACACGCGTGCACTCGTACCCGCATGTGCACGCATGTGCAAAGATCTCCTGTGTAGCCTTTAACAGACTGTTGGGGCAAGTGCTGTTAGTGAGCCGCTGTTAGTGAGCCGCTGCGACACACGAGAGGGGGTGGGTGGCCAGCACCACGCCAGACCGCCTTTGTCTCCCTAGTGGCGACGTTTACACACCGTACCAGGTACTCATTTGAGGCTGAGTCGACCTTGTGGGGGCTCAGGACGTGAGTGGGAATCAAGCTCGGGTCGCCAGGTTTGTAGGTGCAGCGCGCTAACGACTGTGCTAACGCTCCCCAAAAAACAAAGATCCCCCGTGTAGCCTTAACAGACTGTTGGGGCAAGTGCTGTTAGCGAGCACCCATGAAGGCCTGCACGGCACACGAGGGGGTGGGTGGCCAGCACCACGCCCGACCGCCTTTGTCTCCCCAGTGATGATGTTTATACACCGCACCAGGTACTCATTTGAGGCTGAGTCGACCTAGGGGAACCGCTTCAGATAATCGTCACTGGTCTTGGCCGTGAGTGACAATCGAACTCGGGTCGACCGGGTTCGGAGCGCAACGCGCTGACCGCTGCACTGCCGCTCCCCCTCACACATGCCCACAAACACCGACTGACACCCACACACGCCCACGCGCGCAGGTGGTGTGGTACGTTAATAACGGCCTTGTTGAGTAATCCTTCTCATATGTCGGGCCTCTCGCTCTCCTGAATAATTATGCATCTCAATTGCAGCCCGGGTTGAGACTGGGTAGTGTTTGGCTAGACGGCCGTAGGGTTCTGCGGCGCTATCTTGCCTGCAGAGGGCGGTGCAACGGCGTCCATATACGTCCCCCCACCCTCCACCTCCGCTACGAAAGCCGGCTGCTCGAGTTCAGTTCCCTCGGCCACGGCCGACATCGGTGGCGAGTACTACCCGGAAGACCGTTGCGGTTGGCTCCTCGTTGAGCGGCCTGTGCTGTCCGCATGACAAAGCACGATAAAGCGAAACCCCCCCCCCCCCCCCGCCCACACCAACGGACCCGCACGACGTGGTGCGGTCCTCATCCAGCAGTGGATCGCCACACAAGGGGCTGTGCAATGCGGTACGAACACACGAGAGCCCCCTTCGCTTGTTTTTCCCGCGCCCCGCCCCACCCACCCCCCCCACATCTCCTCCCGGTAAAATAAAGTTTCCAACCTCTACAGCGAACGCGTGTGTGCGTGCACGTGCGCGCGCTCCCTTCCCACGGCAGAAATCCCTTTAACGCTAAGTCGGAGTGAAAGCATGCTCCCTCACTCACACGCAACCCCCCCCCCCCCTCCACCGCCGCCCCGACACAGTCTCTGGGAACAGCTGAGCCGAACCGCGTTTCCCGGGGTCTGTTTCGTTGCCGAGCCAAACCCCGGCGTATGGCACGGTTTAACAGCCATTAGCGGCTGCTCGCGAGCGCTGCCGGTAATCGGAGGCAGCTGTGCCGGCGGTGCGGAGCTGCACGCGCGACCGCCCCTCCCCCCCTCCCCTCCGCCCCCTCCCCTCCGCCCCTCCACCAAAAGTGACCGGCGCTGGGCCAAACGGCTGCGGCAGCGAACGAGTTAGGGGTTAGCGAGTGGCGCTCGCATGCCAAGCGGGTGGCGCGTCCAAAGGGATGCGTTGTGTTTCTGTTGCCGGGGGTTGTTCCGGGAGGTTTAATTAATTGGCAGCGAATGCCAAGAGTAAATCCGTAGGCGTGCGAAGTTCCGTCCGGGCGAATGTCACGGCTCGGTCCGTCGTGAGCGTTACTACCCCTCCCGTAGCCGTGGCCGGTAGCACCGGGCTCATCGGAGGTCAGTCGCCTCCTTGCCGCCCATCTGCCGCTACTACCACCACGGTCACTGCCCGCGTGAGCCTCGCCCGTTGATTCTTTCCACCCGTGTTGAGGACCCGCGTCTCCCTGGTTGACTCTTGCATCTCATCCACCACCGCGCAGCAGGTCAACGACAAATTAACTCGCCCACCTCACCCACTCGCTCACCTACTTACCCAGCCACTCGCCACGCTGCAGGTCACGACACTTTTCTCCATGCATCCTTCCGCACTGGCTACAGCGGGGGGAGATCGTTGTCCTTGCTTTGTCCCGTGTACCTTCAGCCGGGTCGGGTAGGCAAGGTAGGCGAGGCGCAGGGTCTCCCGTGACGATCGCTAGGCCTCGCCTTGCTTAGCATCTAAGCCTGCACGGGCCTCTGCGCTGTGACGAAGAGCGGTCCTGACGTCGGCCGAGTGAGATGTTTGATGCCGGGGCCGTTTTAACAACGTGGGTCACTGGATGGGAGGATGGGGGTGGGGGGGGCATGCACAGGTTGCCCATCCCCCACACCGGTGTGGGGGTCGGGGGGGGTGGGGGCAACATGGGCACAGCGGTTGAAAGCCGCTGGGCTGTCTTTTGCTGAGATTGACTGTTGTGTTGCAGGTGATACTGTCGGGCAGGGGCGTGGAAATTGATCCCAGCAGGTAGGACTTTCCAGCCACACGCACCGACGCACGCACACGTACGCGCCGCAGTCGTGAACCGGGGGTCGTAGCCTGGCGCGGGCGGGGCTACGTCGTTGGGCAGCAAGGGTCGGCGCAGCACAAGCCGTTGTTGTACCGCACTGTGCGCCGACGTCTACGCTCCCCCACCTTCATTCAACCCGTGCGGACCCTGCGTGGCGAAGTGCTGCCGATTAGCCCCCACGACCCCGACGGCGTGGGGGTGGGGGGTCCCTCATCCAGCAGTGTATTGGACATGCGCATTGCAGGTGCTGGTTGCTTCACTCGGCTTGTGCCACAGAGGGCTAGCTTGCCACGTGTCCTGCAAGGGAGGCGCGGTAATAAATATCAAGCGATGATCATGATGGAATGTACGTTGTCGAAGTGGGATTTTGTTGGGCATCTGTTTATTGTAATGTTCAACCAGTTCTGGTGGTCAGAACTGGGAAACATTTGTTTCTCATGGTCACTAAACCCTGTTGGTTGATGCCGTGCGTTTGTGCCTGTCCGTGTGTGCACGCGTGTGTGGGAAGCGGTAGTTTAGCAGTTAGTGCGCTGTGCTACGATCCCAGCAACCCAAGTTCGATTCCTGTTCACGGCCAACACCAGTGACAATTTTCTGAAACGATTTTCTGGGCCTCCCCTAGGTCGATTCATCCTCAAATGAGTACTTGGTGCGATATGTAACATTGCCACTCGGGAGAGAAAGGGGGCCAGGCGTGGTGCTGCTCACTCACCACTTCGTATGCTGTGCCCGCCTTCATAGGTGCTCACTAACAGCAGTTCCCCCAACAGTCTGTTTAGGCTATACGGGGGATCTTTGTCTCTTGTGCACGTGTGTGGGGAGCGGTAGCAGCTGGTTTGTGCACTGCGCTACTAACACGGCGACCCGAGTTCGATTCCTGGTCACGGTCGACATCGGTGACGATTCTCTGAACCGGTTCTGGGCCTCGCCTAGGTTGACTCGGACTTTAGTAAGTACCTGGCGCGCCATTGTGTAAACATCACACCTGGGGAGAGACGTGCGGCCAGGCTTGGTGCTGGCCACCCAACCCACCTTGTGTGACCGGTCCCCAGTTACGGGTGCTCGCTTAACAACACTTTCCTCAACAGTCTGTCAAAGGCTACTCTGGGGGGGGGTGGGGATCTTTGTCTTTGTGATGCAGCCTGGACGTGGCGAGCGTGGAGGTGCTAGCTCTGGAGCGGAAGCTGCTCGAAAGTCAGGTGACTCCTCGGGCTCGCATCGCCACTCCCTTCCCTCGTTTAAACAAGAAAAAACCAGTGCCCTTTTAAGCTTGCCATATGTTTCATCATGACTTGTAGCTTGGCAGCCTACACACATTGCTCATGAGACACACGCCAACGTGGAGCGCGAGAAAGAATGAGATCATTAAGTGAACTGTGAAAAATTACATCGTACCATACGACTGTCATCCATCACTCCTGTAAACGTTTCACAAAGTCACGAATTTAGTGGATGAAAATATATATTTGTAACTTGAATGTCACGTTTGCTATTTCGTGTAATGTGTATATATGTTGTCGGTGTGTAAAACTTGTTCTCTTAAAACTAAACGAGTGACGATAATCACGATAACGGTGATAATTTAGCAAACCGGACGACATCGGGAGCGTTATACCTCATTGTACCGTTATAGCATTCGCTGTGTCGCAGACAGCCTAAATGCTGCTCCTACCACTACTGCCGCTACTGCTCCTGCCACTGATGCCACCACTGCTGCCGCTGCCACTGCTACCCCTGCTGTCGCCACCTGCTGCCACTGCTGGCGCCGCTGCTGCCGCCTGCAGCTAGCGGTGTACCTGGAGGTGGGGCGCACGCCCTCGCCAGCGCTGGCGCAACGCTTCATGCTGCTGGGCCGGCAGGAGGAGTGGCTGAGGAGTCAGCTGGAGGCCGGCGACGACGCGACGGTGCACGGTGAGCGCCGGGGCAACTCGCGGTCACGCGGTTCAAATATGCAGGGGGGGGGCAGGGGGGTGCCGGGGGGGTGGGGCGAGGGGTAGGGCAGGGGGGGCAGGGCGGAGGGGGGGCGGAGGTTGGAAGGTAACGCCCAGCCGAAACAACATGAGTCGGGTTTCTGACCGGCGGCCGAGAGTGGAGCTCACGTGGCAACCTCAAGTGGCATCACGAGTGGAGATGTTTTTTTTAAGGCGTGAGAGGTCCTAGGTGAGCGGTTATAGGTGAGAGACGTTGAGGGTCAGACTTAACTTGTGAGAGGCTGTGGATTTGACTCCTCTGAGTTTAAAGGTCGTGGCTAGAGTGGTCCCGAGGGGTGAGAAATCAAGTCAGATTCTAAGTATTTGTTAATGCTGGAGGAATCCGATGAGCTATAAATCTCTTATTTCACGGATGCCCAGTAGAGGGGTGGGTCAGAACGTTGGCAGGTCAGAGGTAGAGGTGCCGAGTTGAGATTTCCTGGCCGTAATGTTGGGATGAACAATTGTGGGGTGAGGGGGTCACTCAGTGAGTGCTCCTTGGGTGAGAGGTCGTGATGCGAGGGCGAGGAATCTCTCGTGTCGCACAGACTACGTGGCGTGGCTGATGGTGCTGGCCCGTCGCTACTGCGAGGAGGTGCGCAGGAGGAGACGTGTGGGGGTCGACGAGGAGGGCGCTCGCCTCGCCGCTGCCAAGCACCGTGCCGTTCTCGCTGAGGTGATGGGGGTCACGGGGGTAGGGAGTTGAGTCACCAGATCGCTGCCTGTTATTATTATTATTTGTTTTTATTTGGCTTGTTTACCCAGGGATGTCCTCGCCGAGTCTCGCGACTCTTTTTCGGGGAGCTTGGGTCCTGCCGAGGTTTTTCGCAGTTCGTGAGGCTCTGTCGCACGGTGGATTGAAAATGAGGACCCGTACATGGGCGGCACTTGCTGATGAGACCCAGAGAAGGTGAAAAGCACTTTGTAGGGGGGTTTCAGCAACGCACGTTGCTGGAAAGCAGTGGTCAAGAATGGGACCCGAGAGGCACCGATGATGGACGTGGACGAAATTTTATTTTATTATTAACTACTATTACACACTACGTCGTGTGGGTCTGCATGGAAATTGCCGTCAAAATTTATTGATTCCGTTCCAGCACAGCGTTCCGTTAACATCTACGCGCCGGGCTCCGCCCACCCCCCGGTGGCAGACCGCAAATTGCTCCGTGGTGGCGCGGCGTCTGCCCCGAGCGGTGATGCCGTGCGAATCCAACTCGGGGTTCCAAGCGAGCGGAGTAATTACAGATGGGCAACCAGGCCCGCCCCGCCCCCCCCCCACCACCCACCACAACGGAGACGTCAATGGGAGCTCTTAATGACGCGGAACGTAATTTTTTTTCTTTCTTTCCAGGAGGGTTCCGAAGCGCTGGGGTGTTGGGAAAAATTGTCCGGATGCGTCATGCGATGTTCTCCCGCTTATACGACACGCTCAGAGATGTTAAGGCGGCCCGCCCCGCACTTTTGAGGTTGTTTTGAAGCCAATAAAATTATAATCATTATTGTTATTATTAGTCCGCAATACGCAACGGCCCCAGAATAGTGGGGGAAACGATATTTTTTTTTATTGCTAAAAATATTTCACGTGAGAAACCCCTTTTCGGAGGTGGGGTGTTAGAAGTTTTCCCAAGTTTTATTTTGCGCAATCCTGTGAGAAAACTCGGAGGGTCCAGGTGGAGTCTCATTTGCAGGAGTGCCCTAGGCTTAGTCTGCCAGTAGAGGTGGCGATGGTCGCGAAGTGAGTCCATGTGCAGATAGTCCCCGACTTACGATGGTCCGACTTACGATATTTTGATCTGACGATGGCGATACGACAAAATTGTCAAATATTTTACGTTTCGCGCGGCAGGCAAACGCAGCAGCGTACGAGGTACGAATCTTGGTGAGTACAGTAGAATGATACGTTACGATACGTTCAGAGCATGTATGATACGTAGCTTTAGCAATTTCATTTTAGGGTTTCCACGATACGATACGTTCAATGCATGTTAAAAGTTTTAATAGCAAAACTTTCTATTAAATTGCAGTTCATATAGGTAGGCTAAGAATTTACCTTGTTTTTTTTACTTTACGTTTTACTGTGCAATACAGTATTGTAATTAATAAATACATACAGTATATAGTTTGTACAGTACGGTACTGTAAATTGCTCTGTTTTGCTAAATTATCACCATTCTTTAAGACTCAACTGGGTAGGCTAGACCATCTTCGACTTACGATATTTTTGACTTACGATGGGGTCGTCGTAACACATCTCCATCGTAAGTAGAGGACTACCCTGTATCTCTACGTGAATCTGTGTGTGTCTCTGTGCGAGTGTGTGTCTCTACGCGAGTCTGCGAGACTATGGGCATTAGTCTACAGCTAGGGGACGATGATTGCTACCTGTACAATCCCAATTAAGTAGTTTGCGGTGTCGCATTTCCCAAATTTGGCAACTTTGGACGATGACGCCGGGCACGCGATGGGCCTAATTTTAGCCGAACCACGTCGGGGGATCTTGAACGTTCACCACGAGCGAAGCGGTATTTACGGTTACTCCCCACTGCGGTAATATCCAGGGCGGCCGCTGGATTTCGAACGGTGACCCTCTGCAACAACGAGCGGACCGTCGACGCGTTGCCGCTTTGCCGATTTGCCGGCGTGTCCAGGGTGGTTGACGTCTGCAGTTGCAGGAGCGCGCTGCTCATTCATTCAGTTACCAGAACATCCCGACTCTTAAAGCTCCGTGCTGTCGTGAGAACTGCCGTGGCTTTCCTGGAGTGGAGTAATTCATCTCCGTTGTCTACCACGACACAAGCGATTGGGCCATTAAGAGCTCAGGTTCAGGTCTCCCGGGAGTCTACCCCCCCCCCAGCCACACCCCCCTCTCCGCCCCCGCCACTCCTGTGTGGTGGATTTTCTCCGGGTTTTCTGAGCTCTCCGGTTTCCTCCCACGTCAAAGCACAGCACCAATTCATGCTGTTGGCCCAACATTCCTCTGTCGCGGCCGAGCCGCGGAGTTATCTCCTGTTGCTCGAGTGAGCATTGAGAGGCGTTGGTGCTCATCTCCTGTTTACAGCCCTGCAGAGCCAGTGGTGGAAATTCCACGTTACAGCACAGCCACTGTTGACTTCCCCCACAAAGTGGTTCTTGGTTTATGTGCTCTTTGATTTTATTCGGTAAAGTCACGTAGGTAAAAAAAAAATGAAAAAACAACTACATTAAATCACGACGTTTTGGAAGCAACACAAGCTTCCGTCATCAGGTGGGACAACCACAGCAACAACAACATTTTGTAGTGCTGTGGTTGTCCCGCCTGATGACGGAAGCTTGTGTTGCTTCCGAAACGTCGTGATTTAATGTAGTTTTTTTATTTCATTTTTCATTTATTTCATTTTTTACCTACGTGACTTTACCGAATAAAATCAAAGAGTGTATGGATTCTTGCACTCACGAAAACTTCAAATCTAGAATTGGTACTTGGTTTATTTGACCTCCCGTGAAGGATGATGGGCTGAGCCAACCCACCCACCCCATCAAACGGGATTTGAACTCTCAACTTTACGTTTGCGAGAGCCGTTCACTCTACCGCTGAGCCACCCGGCCAGATCAATGTAGTCGGACCCCCACTAAGAAAGTTTTAACACTTGGGCTGTCGTGGCATAATAATCTGCATGATTATTATGATAACTGTTTGGAGTATCTGCCAATGCTTGCGTATGAACTGCGTTCACAATCTCGACCTTCTCACAGATCTCTCTCTACAAGCGGTGAATGTCGCCGATCATGATGGTATCGTCGTGACGATGGGTGGCATCGCTATGACGGCGACTGGGATCGCCGTGGTGACGGGGAGATCGCCGTGATGAAGGAGATCGGCGTGACAACGGGGAGATCGCCGTGACGACTGGGATCGCCGTGACGACTGGGATCGCCGTGACGACGGGGAGATCGCCGTGACGAATGGGATTGCCGTGACGACGGGGAGATCGCCGTGACGACGGGGAGATCGCCGTGACGACGGAGAGATCGCCGTGACGACGGGGTGAAGTGTGTCCCGACTAATGCTAGTTCCCTCTTTTCCGGCGGCACTGAGGATGGTGGAGTCTTTTTAGCCGCGGCAGAACAAACTGTAAATAGTTTATGGTCCAGTGGAACTGTGTTCATTTATATTTTGTTGATACTTAGAGCAAACAGTGTCAATAACGAATGAAATAATGGTTGGATTTTTTGTACAAAATGTAAATATTTAAGGCACAGTGCTGGTGTAAATTATTCATGTTTATTTATTGTTGGGAGCAAGGTCATTGCACAGGGACACACGCGTCCACGCATGCAGACGAGAGTCACCTGCGTGTGCACGGACACAAAGACAAAGATCCCCCGTGTAGCCTTAACAGACCGTTGGGACAAGTGCTGTTAGCGAGCGCCTATTGAAGGCTGGCACGGCACATGAAGGGTTGGGTGGCCAGCAACACGCCCGGCCGCCTTTGTCACCCTGGTGACAATGTTTTAAACACAGCACCAGGTATTCATTTGAGGCCGAGTCACCCTAGGGGAGCCCCAGGCCCGGTTAAGATAATCGTCACTGGTAGAGGCCGTGAGCGGGAATCGATCTCGTGCCGCCAGGGTTTGGAGCGCAACACTAGCCACACGCACGCACGCACGCAGCCACACGCGTGCATACGTGAGTATGCAGGCACATGCGTACAAATGTACCCACACACACAAGTTAAGTTTATTTGTTTAACCAGGGTGAGACTCATTTGCAAGAGTGACCTCGGTGTACACACTCGGGCACACAATTGCACACCCATAAATGTGCACGCACTCGCCCATATATGCTCGTCACTCAAGTGACGGTGATGCCAAGAAGCCATTTGTTGTACCAAGCTCGGTGCACGGGTGAGGACACGTGAAGGTGTCGAAGGGCTCGCTCGGTGTGGCAGGAGGTCACGGCACAGGCCAAGAAGGTACATTTTCCGAGATTAACTAAAAACTTTTTTTATTTTACCAGGTAAGGCCCGCTGAGCGATATAGCTCTTTTTCAGCTGTGACCTGGTCACAAGTGATAGCTCCTCACCGAAAGTGCCTCGTGGAAATTTATAGCAGCCAAATTGTCTCAATGCGCGACGTCGATCCTAAATAGAGGGGAAAACCGGAGGACCTGGAGAAAAATCCACGCGACCCCAGAAGAGACATGCAAACTCCAAATATACAGCAGCAGGCATCAGGGTCGGGATTGAACCCACGACCTCCTGCATACCGGGCGAGGGAGTTAACATCTCGCCACCGCAGAGATGACTGGCAGGCGTGCTGTGCTCCCTCGCTGTGCCACCTTGGTGCGTTTTAGCCTCCCGGGGCTCGGCCCGTGGTTGTGAGCTTCGCTCCTCCGCGCTCGCCACAACCGCAGTATTTACCGCCTAGCGTGCCGAGAGGGATGTGGTGAGGCAGGGCTTGCTGTTTGCCCTGAAAGAAACGTGTAACAAATCACTGCATTTGTAAATAACATTCATAACAGACGGGGTTAAATCTTTACAAGCACGATCGGGCGAGTTAAAATCGCTGTGGTGGCGGCAGCAGTGGTGGTGTCCGCAGGGCCTATAGCGGTGGTGCTTTCAGACAGCGTGCTTCAGCAACCCGGCGACCCGAGTTCAATTCTACTCCACGGCCTACATTGGTCCTGGGCCACTTGTGAGCCTTACCCAGCCCTCGGCTCGGCGTGGCCCGTTCAGATTCGCTATGGGATTCACGGCGGCCCGTGTTGTTCCCTCATACGCAGAAGGCCTAGACGTACACGGGCATATGTGTGTACGCTCAAACAAAGACAAAGATCCCCCCCTATAACCTGAACAGAATTTTGAGGCAAGTGCTGTTGGCGAGCATCAATGAAGTCCAATATGGCACACGAGGGAGTAGGTGGCCAGCACCACGCTCGACCGTCTTTGTCTCCCTTGTGGCGATGTTTATGCATCGGGTACTCACTTGAGGCTGAGTCGACCCAGGGGAGGCCCAGGACTGGTTCAGGTAATTGTCACTGATGTTGGCTGTGAGCGGGAATGGTACTGGGGTCGCCTGGTTCGTAGTGCAGCGCGCTGACCGCTACACTGCCGCTCCCCACGTGCACACAAGCACGTGTACGCGTAGACACAACACGCGTGTACACGTACGCACACCAAGACGAGGCAACGCACGTGTGCGTACACAGTTGTTGAAAGTCAAACTCGCATCAAAGTGAAGCAAAGCTATTGAAAGCTATGCATGTATTTTGTTGTTGATCGCTTTGTAATATCTTGCTTTATAAAGAGTGATGTACGTTTTACACGCAGCTCCAGGTACTCGTTTGAGGCTGAGTCAACCTAGGCCGAGGTTCGGTTCAGATAAAGTGTGGTTTGTTAAAATAAATACTACCGTGTGTGTCCTTACTTTTGGGCCACCCTTTGTAATCGACACCGTGCACAGAACAGAAACACCCAACGCGTTCGTCAACACTGTTGTGACCTGGTGTTTGTCAGCAGAGGGCAGTGTAGTACCAGCTGTTGTACTCTACTCCTATGCTCCCATTGGCCAAACCGGACCCCCCCCCACCCACGTGACCCGCAACGGTGTGGGCAGGCCCTCATGCAGCAGTGGATAGACCACGGGGCTTCCCTTCCAGCTGGATTCGGCGAACCCAGAATACTCTGTATTTCCGCAACCCGGCACACCACATCCAGTATACACCTCGTCTCTGATTGGTTATGTTCTAGTACGCGTAGCGCCGACTCCAAGTCTGCCAGCGACTCGACAAGCGTGTCTAGTAAGGAAGGAATTTCTTGGGTGCAGGTGAGGTGTGGTAAAGGTGAGATGTACATGAAATCCAGGTGAGGCGCAGGTGAGTGAGGCACAGGCCAGAAGCACCGAGCCAGGTGCCCCTCGGTGGAGAGATGTTAAGCTACCTCGCATGGTCTACAGGAGGTCGTGGGTTCGATCACGACCCTGACGCCTGCTGCTGCTGTGTATGTGGAGTTTGCTTCTCTCACCCGTGGTCGCGTGGATTTTTCTCCTGGTCCTGCGGTGTTTCCCCTCCACCGAATCAAACGTCATGCGTTTTAGAGTTATTTGACCGCTTTAAACTTCCACGCGATAAGCCACTTCGTTGAGCTGTCATTTGTGGCCAGGTCGCTTCTGAAAAAGAGCTCTATAGCTCGGTGGGCCTTACCTGGTAAAATGCAAAAAAAGTTAAGTACCCTCCGATTAGCACCGGTTGGCTACGTACGGCGCGACAGAAGTTCGAGGAGCAGGTGAGACGCAGGTGACACGCATGCGAGACGCAGGTGAGTGAGGTGCGGGCTTCCCGTTCGCCCGCGTGCTCGAGATGCAGGTTGGGGGTCGATGCCTCAAAAGCCGAATGTTCGGGCGTCCACCAGGGAGCAGCGCCGAGCCAGGAGGGAGCAAGGACACGGAGCGACGGGGGGGTCACGTGGGTTCATATTCACGTCACAGTCACGTGGCTTGTCTGAGGAGGGGGGGGGGGGGGTCAGGCCACGTGCGAGGGAATTTGATGATGGCTTTTTGTGTCCTCGCAAACCTCGACGTGTTCGAGTTTAGCCACCTGGCCGAAGCTCACGGGCTCAATTTCCAGTCGCGATGAGCGTCTCACGCCACCAGCGCTCAGGAGTTTCACTCATCAGAAAACGAGCAATACTTTACACGTACGAATAATAATTATAAGGTAAGTTCACGCTTAACGCGTGTTCACACAACGTGTTTTGCTATAACGCGGTCCTTCCACTCGGGAACACTTTTTGCGCAACGCAGAACGCGGCCCCGTCATAACGCGGTTTCTGAGCAGTCCACGACAAACTACTTTCGTGAGCGGTACGATACAGGACACGATGCAGTAAACGAAGCGGCGTACAGTGCATCGTACCATCTCGCCAAACTTTATCGTTACATTGTTTATGGGTGTTTCGCTTAACGCGGCACTTTTCAGGACCGCGTCTACCGCGTCAAACGAGGACTTGCTGGGCAACAGCAACAACAACAATAAATACGGTAATGCAATCTGTGCACATGTGGCAATCTCGTCCCTTTGCTTCCCATTTGCGACCGAAATCGGGCCGTGAAAATATTCACGAGCGAATCGCTAATTATTATTATTGTTGTAACCTTTATCAACGGTGACTTGAGAGTGAACGACGCGGGAGACTACCACCACCGAAGGCAAAGATCACCCGTACAGCTTTGGCAGACTTGGAGCAAGTAGCTGTTATCGGAACACCTTCAGGAGGGGTGCATGTTTAGTTTGACAGCATCGTGAGACAACGGGGAGGGGGGTCCAAGACGAGGCCCTGGGGTTTCATGTTGAGTGAGAGGCCAAGGCAGCTTCTACGCTGCCTTACAGCCGATGAAAAGATAATGCCACTTGATGGATTTGGATGAGACCTCCACTGCCAAACCGGAGCAAGCCAAGAACCACCACCGCCCGGTAACCACCCCCACCCACACTCCACAATCCCTCCCATCACTCATGAAGAGTTGGAGGAGGGGGGGAGCGGTGGGGGTGGTGGGGGCTGTGGTGTTTGATGACACAGTACTCAGACAGGTGCTTGTTTTTTGGTGGAGCTGATGGCAAGGCACCCCCTCCACCCCCCCCCACACACCCTCCACCTCCTGTGGTGGCCGACGGCTCCGGTAGTTCAGCGGCGGAGTCTCCACCTCGTTCTTAGAGCCAGCAGCGATAACCAGGTCGTCACGGCAGGATGCGTGCACGACGCGCTGCGTGCACTGTGGTTGTAGCTCAGCCGAGAGCCATCACTGGGACCGTAGCCTGCGCATAGATCAGCCTCCCGTGTTGCATCAGCGCCGGACGCAAGCAAACTCGTCTGGCAACAACCACGGAAAGCTTCAGGAACTTTAGAACTTAATTTTTGTTTGTGTGCGTTGCAGTTTGTTGTCCTTCCCCCGCGCGCCTCCGATTAGCACGGTTGGCCACGTACGGCCCAAAAGAAGTTCAGCGTGCATACGTGGAACTGAAATGGCCGTAGATAGTGTTGGTGGCAGAGAGAATCACTCGTGACACCCCGGGGTGGACAGGAAATTATGATTGGCTTCTCCTGGCCCCGAGTGTACGAAAAATAACCCAAAGCTCTGGCCTATTGATGGTCTCACAGGCCTTGACCATGTCAGAGTATAGCAGAGATGTATGGGTCCTGTTGAAATCCCCGACACATTTGCTGATGGACAGAATATGGTGTCTGTGCATGGGTGACGCGGTCTGAGATGTAACACTGATGAGATAGTACACAGGTGAGATGGTACACAGGTGAGCTGTAACACTCATGAGCTGTAACACTGATGAGATGTTACAGGTGAGATGGTACACAGGTGAGCTGGTATACAGGTGAGATGGTACACAGGTGAGATGGTACACAGGTGAGCTGTAACACTCATGATCTGTAACACAGGT